ATGGAAGATCGAATTAATCAGTTTTTTGTGTGGAGAAATTTTCGCTGCTGTAATTCCTACTCAGATTTCGAACATATCGAAAAATTGGGATTCATAATTTATGCATCATCAGAAATCGACAGAAGAATATAGACCATCACAAAAGATATCGTAAGCTACGACTAAGTACCGATTCAACAATTGTCTTCACGATCGTTCGCACTTTCGTAGAAGTTTTGTTCAAATTCAATATTCACTCAAACGAATTGAAACAAAATTCAATTCAATCTAGCCTTTGTCATTGGAATCGCAGTAGTTACACCGTTTGTATTCTCCAAGTGAATTTTTGAATCTTCTTTGATATCGTGAGTTACGGTTTAGGATTCAAACCCTCTCGCAAATTTACCGCTGTTGGATTACCAAGTAACGTTACCGTTGGTGAATGATCAAATCAACAAGGAGAACGTCTTTAAACTAACCTACAAAACGCACTTCTATTTCTTTCGTACCGACAACCAATATGCATTCATCAGGTGAGCATTCCTCCATTAATTTTCCGATTGCCTATCATCCAGAATTGTCTACTGTGATATTTGTTCTAGCATTTGTTCCAGTTCTAGCTTACAAATCTATTTTTTAGATTTGTGATTATTACCATTGCAATTTTGGGTTTCATAAAGTCTTTCGATGGATCTCAATAATTTGAGCCACGAATTCAGTAGCTGCATCAAAATTTGTTGTTGTTAGCTGAAATATGGTCATTCTCAACCACTTCTTTATTGGTGTTTTGCAGGTGGATCGAATCAATTCGGCAAGCAAGTCTGAATTCCACTCCATTGGATGCGTTAACTTTACTGGTTTCACGTTTTTCATAGTCGAGAAGTACCTTTGCCCAGCCCAATGCAATCAATCGCTGTCTTGTTTAAGTAAGCCGTTTTGATGACTACAAACCATAAGTGAATTATATGTGATATAGTTGATCGTATTATTGTATGCGGACCTCATTTTGAATATTCATCTCAACAGCATCATCGAGAAAATGATAATTTGATCAAATTCTGATTCAATGCAACAATACGAGTCTAGACTAGAAACCAAATTCTGAACGCATAAGCCAAGTTTATGAACATAAACTAAGTAGTCAATAGTAATTCCTGATGAATCTTTTAAATTTAATTGCATGATTATACATCCTTATGAGTATTTTTTTGTGGCTCGTGCAAAAGTCAGCTCGTACAACATATTGGAATGATGCATAGCAATGACAGTACTTCACGCATTAATATAACCAGCACAGTTCTTTTTTTGTCGAGTAAAAAAATGAAGTCGAGTAAAAGTTTAAACTGAAAAGATATCCAATGTTTATTTCGTTGAAAATATGTCAGTACACTGTGTCGTGAAAATATATTTCATAAGCTTGCAGTTTGTGTGCACTTCTATCTCAAAATGTTGGTTAATTTTGATGTGTATAATA